TGGGGCCGTGAAGGGGTGTAAGGAGGGCACAGCCCGGTTTCGGAAACAGGGCTGGCATGCAGAGCAGGGAAGATGGTCTGGAAACGGGGCCGGCATGCAGAGCAGTGAGCTGAGTTGGGGGATCCTTACAGAGTATCTGAGAGAGAGGGCTCCAGGGTCTGGCAGGGCTTCAGAGGAGACCTGGGTAGGGGGATGGCATGCAGAGAGGAGCACGTCCCGGTGAGCAGAGGCCAGTCCTGAGATGCAAGTAACAGGTGTGGGGGCCCTCGCAGACTGTGGGCTGGCCTGGGAGGGGCAGCGCCTCCACAGAGAGCATGGAAGAATTAGGCTCAGACTTTAATGAGGCAGAGTAGAAGGAGCCATGGAAGCTCGCTGAGCTGGGGGTGCTGATCAGGACAGACTGGCACACTGTGTTCAGAGGTGACAAAGAGCCTGGCCTCAGGGCTGCTGAGGGGAAGTTGGTGCTGGAGGTATTCTGGAACACCTTGTCCCAACTGGTGGGTGGAGGACACAGCAGGACATCCTGGAGGAAATTCCCCGTGTCCTGTTGGGGAACCCATGAGCAGAGAGTTTGGGGGTGGGTGGGTAGGCTTTATTCATTCATTCTACAAACTTTCATGGCATCGCTCTGCCTGTGTGTCCACCATGGGTATGGATGGCCCACAGCCCCTGCCCTGAGGACCTCACTGCCCAGTGGGAGACAGATAGCTAATCAGATCGGGGCCAGGTGCCACAGGACAGTTACGTGCAGGGGTGTCGCAGGGTCCCCAAGGGGCTAGCGCTTAGTTCTAAGGGGATGGGGGCAAGCGGAGGCGATTAGGTATCCCAGGAAAGAGAGAGCGAGAGAAAGAGAGAGGACTTGAGAAGGATGTGAGCAGATGAGCAGAGGTCAGGAGGAGCCTAACTGGAGCTGGGGCTAGCCCCCCAACCCCGGGAACTCCAGTAATAGGCAGAAGACGCCAGTAGGCATTGCATGCCATAGGGCTTCCCATACCGGACCGAGTGTTTAAGGCTTTCTGTGCTCTGGGATAGAGAGCACAGGTGAGACGTTCGAGGCCCCACAGACACATGAAGTCCCTCAAACCCTCTAAGCCCCGTCCTGAGTGTACAGACCCTGTGGGACCCCGCTGCCCTGCGCCAGCCTCCATCCTGGACCGCAGACACTCCAAGGCCCGTAAGACCTAGTCATGGCCCTCGGGGACTCTGGTGCGGAGAGCAGGCTGCTGCCTCCCAACGAAGGACGGACAGGCTCGGCCACGCAGGCCCTGGACGATAACTTCTCAGGGGCCCACTAGGTACCTGGCACAGCTCTGGGAGGGGACAGCAGGGAGGAGGGCTCACAGGCATTTGCCTCATGCAGCTGATGCTCAAGGGGACACCTAGCAGGTAACTGCCAACAGGTGCTTCACTACACTGAGGCCTGCAGTGACCAGGCACCTCGATCCAGACTGGGCAGGAAGCGCCTTCCTGGAAGCTCCCAGAAGCACAAAGCCTCCACTCAGCCTCCCACCCAACTCCCCCCAAGACCCCAGCTGCTCCAGTGGTCCTCATCCCAGGGGATGTCTGCCAGGGATTCCCAGCCTGGCAGGGCCACACGGAGCAAAGCTTTGGAGATGTTGTCTAGTGAAATCAGGGGGGAATAGCCCTCAAAGAAACCTGGCTGGGGGCGCCGCTCCACGGCCAGCTGAACTCTCCTCCTCAGCCAGGGCTGGAGCCAGGCCTGCCTCTGCACTGTCCCAGGCAGGGCTCCTTCCTGCAGAGAGGCTCCCTGCTGCCCCCTCCTGGACAGCCTGGGAAATAACTCTTAGGAGAGCTCCCCAAGCTGGCTTCATTCAGCAAAGAGAGCAAGCACTCCCCATCTTCAGCACCTACTATGTGCCAGACTCTTCTCTCAGTAGATGTTACTGTCCCTGTCTTCAAATTCAGGGGCCGAGGAGTTTGGCCACATCAGGGTCTGCATGCACCGGGTCCATCTGGCTCGGCTGGTGCCCGGTGTGAATCAGGCCACTGGGGCTAGGCAGGTGTTCTGGGTCCACACTCCCAGTGCCCCTTCCAGAAGCCATGTGATCTCATTGGAGCCCCGAGGTGCCTGTTAGGCAGCTTGTACAGGCGTTATTTTACAGGTACCGTTTATAAATGAGGAGAGCAAGTCAAACAAAGATTAAGAGAGAATCTCGACGGGCAGGTCCCCAAGCCCATGGCTGCCTCTTGCTCAGCCCTCTCACTCAGTCTCTCACCACCGCGCCCTCACCACCGCCTTCTCACTCTTTTATTTATTTATTTATTCATTTATTCATTTATTTTCGGGGGGGAGAGATTTTTCACTATAGGGCGCGTGCGCTCGCCAGACAGAGAGAGACATAGAGACAGAAAGCGAGAAATCACCCCCCAGGGGAGATGGTCATGCCGCAATCCCTTCTCCTCCATTCTCCTCTCGGGATCTTGGGCACGCACGCACACACGCCCGTCGTGAGCTTTAAGCCACTGGGTCTGGGACACGAACCGCGGTCAACCACGTGGGAGTCCAGTGACATAGCCATTACGCTAACTGCTGGTTCCCGCCTTCTCACTCTTTTTGTTTGTTGTTGTTAGATAGACTTCTGAGACTTGTGCACTCTCCAGAGAGACAGAAAGTGAGAAATCACCCCCCAGGGGAGATGGCGACATTGCAATCTCTTCTTCTCCATTCTCCTCTTAGAATTTTGGGCATGCATACACACGCACCCTGCATGAGTTTTCAACCACCAGGTCCAGGACTCGAGCCGCAGTTGACTATGTGGGAGTCCAGCAGCATAACCATTACACCATCTGTGACCCCCCTTTTCAATCTTTTATAATCCTCTGAGCTGATCTGACTTACGATCAGGTTTCCTCACCTCCACAGGCACTGTGGCGTCTCCACCCGACACCCACAGGGGCCCAATCCCAGCTCTCCTTCCCCAAGCCTTTACAGCTGCTCTGGGGTCCCACAGACCTCTCACCTGCTACCTACTGCCTGTGTGGTCTTGGGAGGTCACCGAACCTCTCTGATTCTCAGTTGTCCATTCACAAAACCAAGGCAGTCACAGTGCCTCCCTCATTGTCATAAAGGCAGCTGGAGACCGCGTGGTGTAAGTCACTAAGCAGTGACGGGGGCTCAGAACCCGCAGTCACGGCCACTGCCGGAGATGCCGAAAAATCGATCAGGGGTTCTGTCTAAAGGGATTTACCATCTGGCTAGGGAAATTAGACACACACGCGCACACACACAGGAGTGGCCGCACAGCAGTAACACGACTGGACACAAGTAAGTAGGTGCCCAGATGACGCCCTACGGCCTCTGTGTGCAGGTTGTGTGCACCCGTGTGACCGGATCTGGGCTGGTTGAGTTTGGGGGTCAATCATGATGTCAGGACCCTATTGGGGTTGCCTCTCTCTCTGCTTCTCTCTCTTTGTGTCACTCATGCAAGAAATAAATAGGCCTCTCTCTATATATTTATATAGAGAGAGTGAAAGAACGCAGAATAATTCCGGAGAGGTCCTGTAGCAAGAGCCAACTTGTACATATGTCAGATTTCAAAAGTGGTTAGGTTAATTGTGTGATTTCAAAAACACATGGTCTAAAAACCAAAATAAAATAAAAAACTAAATATGGTGCCATATAAATAAAGCTAGAGTTCATTATTTAATTCCCAGGCTAGTCTAAACTCATTTACTTATTTATTTATTTATTTATTCATTCATTTATTTTCATTTGATCAGAGAGAGAGACACACAGAGAGAGGGAAAGTGAGAAAGCAAGCCACCAGGTCCGGGACTCGAACCACAGTCAGCCATGTGGGAGTATCC